GGCCTTGCCTTCGATCTCGACGCTGGTGGGCGTGGCGTTCTTAGCCTACATCCTAAATTCGATCTACCAAATGTCACAGTTATTTACGACGCTACAATGCAGCAGCTCCCCCTGCTACACGTCCTTTCTGACCGAGCGTCCGCGCTTGCAATTGGCCCTGTTCACTTCGCAGAACCGGAACCCCATCGCCAGTGAAGTGCATGATGTGTATAAGGCGAAACGTTTCAATTATGCGCAAGCCTTCGATCACGACTTTCAGCTCGATGTGCCGCTCAAGACGCGACGGAATGGCACCCTGTATCTGCATGTGGTGCTGGCCTTGGAGGGTGAGCCCCTCGAATGGCGCACCTTGAAACGCGATGGACCCACAGTGGTGCATACGCTTAATCTCTGTGATTATATGGTGCCACGTGCCGAGGCCTTCAACCTGATCAATCAGAAGGATAAGCCGGAGCCCAGCGAGCAGCAGCAGGTGAAAAGAAGAAGAGGACAAACGTCAACGCAGATCTGCCCAGCACACATATACGCTCCAATGTGTATGTGACGCTGCTAACAGATGCATTCGCTCTATCCCAAGCGGACTTGCCGCCCGAATTGGCGCCACTGATCCGAGTGAATCGCATGCAACAGATTTTGCCCATCGTGCAGACGGATATGTTCAATACGAGACTGAAGCATCTGGTGCCAGTGACCAGCAACACCACCGAATTTACGTTTAGCTTCCATTACAAGCCCGTTGGCGTGGGCAAGCTGCGACTGATGCTGCTCATGGAGCATGCCACACAGACCCTCCAGTCCATTGGCTTTGCCGAGAAGGACATTGACGAGGTCAAAGGCATATTTTCCGATACGAACGTATATCTGCTCTGTGGCACTATCTTTGTATCCAGCGTGCATGTAAGTAGCTGATAGAGAGAGAGAGAGAGAGGGAGATTTGCCTGATGCACTTGCTCCTTTGTCGCTTGCAGATGCTGTTTGACTTCTTGAGCTTCAAGAACGATGTCTCCTTTTGGCGCAAGAAGCAATCCTATGAGGGTCTATCCACACGAACCACCTTGTGGCGCGCCTTCTCGCAGTTCATCATCTTTTTATATTTGCTGGACGAGCAGACCTCCTATTTGGTGATTGTGCCCGTCGGCCTAGGCACGCTGATCGAGCTGTGGAAGTGCAAGAAGATCTTGCGCCTGCATTTCAGTTTCACATCGTTCATCACACGCAAACTGCAGGAGTCTGAGCAGCCAGAGCCCGGCCAGCTGGCCGAGCAGCAGACGCAGCAGTTCGATCGCGAGGGCATGCGCTATCTAAGCTATCTGCTCTATCCACTGTGTCTGGGCGGCGCTGCCTACTCGCTGCTCTATCAGCCGCATCGGTCATGGTACAGCTGGACGCTCAACTCGCTTGTGAATGGAGTCTACGCATTTGGCTTTCTTTCATGTTCATGCTGCCCAACTGTTTGTCAATTACAAGCTCAAGTCTGTGGCCGCGCTGCCCTGGCGCGCCTTCATGTACAAAGCATTCAACACGTTCATCGATGACTTCTTTGCCTTCATCATCACAATGCCAACGGCCCATCGTGTCGCCTGTCTGCGCGACGATATTGTCTTCCTCATCTATCTCTACCAGCGCTGGCTGTACCCTGTGGATAAGACACGCGTCGATACGGGCCTGGCCATTGAAGAGCCAACACGATCTAATCGCGCCGACGCACATCCCAACGGGATTAGCCAAAGATACAGAGATACAGAATACACAGACGCAGAGAGAGGCGACAGAGAGAAAGAGAGAAGCAACTGCTTTAATGCATTTATCCATTGATATGCAGTTGTACATTCCGTCGATTTATTTAGGCTGTAATACATCACACACACACACGCACACACACACACACACACACTCACACTCACAGTCACACTCACACACACAACACACACACGCTCACATGTAACTGTTTAATGTAGCAAATGCAAGCATCATCAAATAATCAAATTTACCATCACGTATTTATTTATGCATAACACACCTCTGCAGGTGAGATGCCTGCTATCCGGAGAGCACAAGCTAGTCTATTATATCACCACTTGATGCAGCAGCAGCACCTCGAAAACTAACATAGACTGTTCAAAGACGACCGACAGATTGAGAAAACGTTTTTAAATTCAGCAATTGTCGGACATTGAAATCCTAGATTATGCAGCTCCAAAACTGTCAGATTCTAGACTATGTCTAGCTTTAGATTTAAGCCTAGCTTGACGACCCAGCTGGTTCAGAAAGTTCTACGTCGCTAGCTTATAAGCCTCTAATGGCTTTGTCAGCTTCTTTACAATAAGCGTTCAGATGTTGTCCAAGTCTACCTTTCATACAGAAACTATAGAAACTACAATAATCCCAATCACTGGTAAATTCAGAAGTAGTCTTGTCTAGCCAACTTCAAAATTACAAAGTGTATATAAAATATATATAGTCTATACCCTTACGAAACATCTTAGCCAATTGTCAATGGAGACGAAGACGAGCTATATTCATCAATTCATGGATTCGATCTATATATCTCAATAATCTCAATTGTTTTATTACATTTTTTGTTTATTTTTGTTTAGAGCGGCTGTCGCTGATTTTGTTGTTGTTGGCAAAAAAATGATAGAATTATTTATATAGTATATATATATATATATGTATAGGGTGTGTAGCATTTAGGGCTTAAACTAAACTGCCGAAGGAAAAAAGAGTTTGCCGTACTACATGCGACATGGACATTGATGGAACAACTGCTCAATCCATAGCTTAGCCATTGCGTATGCCCAGTGCCTGCTCCAGTTCGGCGCGCTTCTGATTGACCTTGGTGAAGAAGTAGCGCGATACAGCTTCATGCGTCCAGGGCTGATAGTAGAACTCGGCGCGACGTTCCTCCTCCGGATTGCCCACCACATCGGTCATGAGCTGGCAAAGAATACAAAATTAATAGAATTGTTTCTGCGAATAATTCGAGTATCTAGCCTTACCTTGAGATCCCGCGTCTGGCTAATGATCCAGCGATGTATGAACATCTGCGGATCCTTGGCAAAGCTGAGAAAGAATTCGCGATTCGTTTTCATTTGATTGATCGTATCCACCGTCTCATGTATCTTGGTGTCCAACCCCTGGATCTCCTGTTGGCTGGCGGTACTCATCAAAAAGTTATTCATTTGGTTTTTGAGCGTATCATCCACCTCCACGTCTATGTCTTAGCACTCGGTCTGTTTGTTCTCCTCTCCGCTCTCAATGAAATGGTTGATCACAATCGGATCTGGTGGATGGAGCAGCGGATTAAGACGCTGCGGTATCTCCGCAAACTTCATGCGCTGACAGCTGAAAATCTGCTCCAAATATTTGTCGCAATTGATATACTCTCGCTCGTGGGCATCCTGCAGCTTGTGCGTCTTTATGTACTGCCACAGCGCCGATATTATTACCGGTCGCGTCTGTGTGTGCACGCCCAGCAGTCGAGCGAGCCGGGGATCCAGTTTGAACTGCAGCGGCTGGTAGTCGAGCAGCAGCAGGATGGTGCAGCGCACGTTACGATCGCCGGGCCGCTTCACCTGAAAGCCGTCCGTCTCCTGGGTGGTGTGTGTGCGATGCCATTCGACCAGATGGTTGTCCGGTCCGTATAGCTCCTTATCCAGCTCGATGACCAGCGACTTAAAGAACGATGAGAATTTACGTTTGATCTTTGTATTGGGATCCCCTTTGCCATCCTCCAGCAACCGTCCCTCGACACGCAGCTCCCATGACGCAACGGCGCCTTCGTCTCCATCGTTGCTTGGCTCCTTGCTCGGATAGAATGTATTCGAAATGAAGATGCGAAGCTTGCGCTTCTGCTTCATTGGTCGCTTGAGTGCTTCCTGTATGTCCAGAACGTTTGCGCATGATGGTAGCGTCCAGCTTGCGCTCAAATGTCAGCAAATCCATATAGGCCTGCGACTCTGGTACCAAATCCCGCACCTTCTGTGGCAATATCTTGTCTGCCAGCTTCTTCTTCTTTTTGGCGCCAGCAACAAACTCACCCTTGTTGGGACCGCTGTTCAGGCTGCGCGATTCGGCTGATCGCTTGCTGCCACCGCCACCACCACCACCCGAGCCGCTGCCGCGCAACCGCTTTGGAAAGTGGGCTGGGTGGTGCGCTGCAGCAGGGCGGGTCCGGGTCCAACTGGAGCGGCAACGCTCCCTGGTACTGGCTGCGTTGTGTTCGGATGCAGCGGAAATCCGCGAGGCTGCCCAGCAAAACAAAGTTGTTAATTTAACTTAATGTGAAATTGAGACTAATCGATGATTTGATTTTCTCACTTACCGGGAAAGTTGAGCCGGTGCCTGGCGGATAGGACGCATTCCGGGGGCCTGAGGTGGCGGCTGATAGCGCGACTGCACCGGCGCTTGGCCTGGCGCAAATCGTTGCGACATCTTTAATTCTGTTTCACCTTTGCACTTGCTGCAATCCACGAAAAATACAATTTTTTGATTACAACAACGCTGCGTCACATAAAAAAACTATTTGTAAAATGGCGTCGTACTTAGGGTTGTAAAATATATACTGTGCCTATCGATAGTTGCAATAAATACTAAAATAACGATAGATCGATTGCGGTAATATTAAATATTTTTGTTTAACATTTAAAGTTGTTGGGAATAAATATTATTCAGCCCATTCTAAAAGTGAATCTGAATATATCAGTTTTAAATAAATGAAATAAATATTGGCTTACCGATATATCGATGCAGAAGTGAATTCTGTTCACTTTTTATGATATATACTAATTGGACAATATTTGTGAGAAACATTTTACATTTGTTTGATAAAAATAATATGTACTTAATTCAAAATAAATGATTTATATTAATATATCTATATATATTTAAGGTATCCCTTGAAACTTTATTAAGTACTTATCACTAAATATGTGAATGTTTTTCGGTACTTTTAAGTATTTTGACTGCGTGCCATAAACGGTCACACAGTGACCGTGACTGGCGTTAATCGACAGTCCCAATTTATATCGATAAGTAGACTGTTGCTTGATTTGTTTTAATTTCATTCAATAATCAAATCTTGCTTTTGAGTACGTCTAAAAAGTCAAGCAAAGATCCCAACATGGAGGAAGAATGGTGGCAAACCAATTTACGTCAGCTAAATGCAAAGGGCAAGCGCCTGGAGACGCTCACCAGCATGTATACGAAAATCAACAAACAATCGGCCCTGCCGCGAAAAAATTGAGCTGCTGTTGCGTGCGCCGGCGCTCTACGAATGCGCCGTTGTCGAGGGTACGGATAAGGAGCCACTGGTTAATCTGTGCACCGACTTCATGAGTAGCTGCCTCGAGCAATTGCAGCTGGACACCAGCGATGCCAATCTGCCGCAGCTGCTTAATCCGGCTCTACATCATTCGAATCCCGCACTGCGTTCCCTGGTACTGAACATTCTGCTAAAGGAGCTGCGCCGCCAACAAGCCAGCGCCATGCAAATTCAGCCGCTGCCCAGCAATGAGCTGCTTGTCTATGTGCTCGACGAACTCCAGCAGCCAGAGACACAAAGCAGCACAGCTGCCATCAACATTCTGACCATTGTGCTCGACCAAGGGCTGAATGACGAAAGCGTACAGTCGAAGCTCGTGCAGCTGCTCAAGCAGAACGAGGTAGTGCGCTGTCGCGCCTACGAGCTAGGCGTCATGTTAGCCAAGCGTAGCGCCGACTCCCTGTCCTCAGTAGAGTTCATTTTGGATGCGGCGTTAAGTGAGCTGGACAACGACGATGTGTTGCTGCAGGCGAGCGTAATGGAGATACTTGTGCCGTTGGCCGAACAGAATCACGGCCTAAGCTATATGGAGAGACGCCGCGTCTTCGACATTATCAGCAGTCGGGTGCAGCACATCGAGGACAATCCCTTGGATACGCTACTCATACCGAGTATTATGAAATTCTTTGGCAAAATTGCTGCTGTCCAGCCGCAAAAGATCATCACCGGCTATCCACATATGCTGGCCTGCCTATTCGATCTGCTGGCATCGGGCGATGAGACAGTGCTGCCCACTGCCATGGACACGTTGGCCAACCTGGCAAGCACAGTGCAGGGCAAGATGCTAATGCATGTTCAGTTTCAGCCGGCCATGGAGCAGATGTTACGCAAATACTCTGCCTACACGAAGAGTTTATCGCCGCCACTGAAAATACGCATGCTCAACTCGCTGGATGTTATCTATACAATCAATACGCCAGTCAGCCAGGAGCTGAGGTGAGCTGCAATTGAGACTCTATATAGCTGTAACTAATCTCTCTTTTCTCTCTATGTGTCTTCAAATTGCAGTGTCATCTTAAAGAATTGGTATGAATGCTTTGCTGGCGGCCAGCAAGTGAATCACATTATGGAGTTGCTGCAAACTCCGTTTCCCGATTTACAGCTCGCAGCGCTGGGTCTGCTGAAGACCCTCTGCCAATATCAATGGGGCTGCAAGGCTGTGCAGTGCACGGGCGGTGCCATTGAGTTTCTGCTCTCACGTCAACACGATCTACACAAGGATGTCAAGTATCTTAAGTGGCAAATCATGGAACAGCTCTCCGTCAGCAATGAGTTCTCAGCGACAGAGATTGTTCGCTTTACCGCCTATGTGAACGAGGGACCATATCATATACAGAGCGAAGTTAACATAGCCACCGAGCCCCAGTAGCTGTAGCAGTAGCAGCTACTATAAAACACTTTCTTCTATATAATATATAAGAGTTTAGTCGACACCACATTTTAACATCGAGACACAAAGAGAGAGAGAAGGAGAACTAGAACTAGAACTAGAAGTAGAAGTAGAAGGAGAGGAAGCGGGAGATGGAGAAAACAAATGTTATTTTCATTTTGCAGTTGCGAACTGTGCCCAAAATTCCAAATATATATGTATTTACAATACAATTGTAATAATTTATAGTAATTTAACGTTTCTTTCTTTCTGTAACTATTTAGATCACATTTATAGAGAACCGAGGTTTACGCCCTACAGATAACTCATGTGTCTGTGCGACATGCGCTTACGTCCCGATCCACCCAAGCTGCCGCCCATATGAGCCAAGCTGACGCTCAAGCCCGATTCGTAGGCCGTCTGCGTCTGGGATCGCGTCTCATTGTTGCCCAGGGAGCAGGTGGGCAGCGTGTGACAGTAGCGACGCAGCTGCTGCTTAAATGCGGCTGTCGTTAGAGTATAGAGCACTGGATTCAACGCCGAGTTCACTGGCAGGACCAGCACAGCCAGCCAGGCATACAAATCGGGCGATATAACACAGCCTAGAAGAGTAAAGCACGAGCTAGAGCAAGTGAGAAAGAGAGAGAGAGAGCTGGATGCTGTGCTTACCTGAGAGCGCTGCCACCTTAACCACGATTATGGGCAGCCAGCAGGCGCAGTCGGTGGTCACAATAATGGCAAAGCTGTAAAAGAAGATTAAGAATTATAAAACACTCTACTGCTCGCTCGAATTGAACAGAGATAGAAGATACTTGTGCATAGACTCTTAGAACTAAATACTCAAAGTTAAGATTGAAATATCTATTTCATGTTGCAGATTCTATAATTTGCCAACAAATGTATAAGAACTAGAAAGAAAGAGACTTTCTAGGCTCCGCATTTTTGGAGACCTATATTCGGTGCATGGTTTATAGAGATCCTGTATACATGCCTATAAGCTATACACAGACTACAGAAACAATCAAGTATAGAGATATATCTATATGGGGTCATAAAGCCGTATCTTTTGTGGACTATATTTATACTGTCCTTCTAGACTATAGGGCACTTTTTATATACTATAAAGATTATATATTAAATATGTTTGAACTATATAGTGACAACATAGAGAAGTCTATTAAGATGATATATATCATACTATATATCAAATTGTATATGATATCTTTACGAGATTTTATAGACTGTTTAGAGCCTAGCTATAGCCACAGCTGCTATAGCTACGCTTCAGACGCCTTTTCTCTCTGAGTAATGTATATAAAAGAAATGCCCAGAGCAGAGCTCTTTATATCATATAAATGACTGTAGACTGTAGCGACTATAAAAGTTATATAAGCTATGGCTAAAGTCTCGTCTCTCCCCACTCACCGCGTGGCCACCACGCTCTCTCGTCCACTGTGGGTGCTTCTCATGCCACCGCCAGAGTCGCGGATCGCCTGCAGCATGCGCACATAGGAATAGAGTATGAAGATCAGGGAGATGGTGTTAATGCAGATGAACAGCAGCGCCGAGTACTCCCAGCCCTTGGCGTACGGATCGTGTATGTGCAGCGAGAGGCAGACGCCATTGTTGCCATAGAAGTGCTCGCCGAAGTAGTCGTTGGTCAGGAGCGGAGCTGCTGCCAGGCCAAAGCTGATGCCCCACACTAGAAGCAGACGCAACACAATTCTGCAAAATTGATGCTCGTTTGAGTGCCAGATTGCTTTACAACACTACTCAATAGTGTTGCCAAATGTCAACGTGAAGTTACCTAACTTTTTCCGTGTCGCGTGGCTTTAGAGGTCTTGTGACCGACATCAGACGATCCCAGGTGACGAGCGTGAGCAGCAGCGTCGACGACTGACAGCTGAAGGTGCTCAGAAAGCCTGCAAATAGTGCAAAATACAGTTAGTTGTAGAATACATATCAGAGTGCAGCTAGACCGGGCTGCTCTCGGGGCACACCCACCCGCAAGGCGCAGAGCTCGCTGTGCCGCCAGGACTCCTCGTGTCGTATGTACTGCCCCCGGAAGCTGATGTCGGCGCATGCAATAAGCGTCAGGTAGATGCCCATTAGGAAGTCACTGGCCGCCAGGTGGCGCAAGTAGAGCGAATGCTCCACATTGCTGCGCGACTTGTAGAAATAGCGTCCGGCCAAAACGAGTAGATTGCCCACCACAGCAATCGAAGCCATGATCCAAACGCTGTGGAAAGTGGAGGCAGAATAGAGCAGTGAATTAATAGAACTGAGCAATCAATCAGTCAATCGATTGATTGAACAATTTGTGCATGAATAGCACAGAGCTTGAAAGCGCTATGCATAGCTGAAACAACGAATCTATAGAGATCAAGGAGGGTTTTAGTGAGTGATTGATTGAATGACTGAATGACTGATTGACGATATAAAATTATGTATAAATACAAAGCTTATGATTGATTGACTGGTGACTAACTGAATACATTTGTCTGCCTGTTAAAGCTAATGACTGACTGATTGCTTGATTGACGAATAACGCACAAAGAAGTGGAAATTGTTAAACAAAAGTTGCCTCTGATTAGCTGATGAATTGATTGATGAGCAGTGCTCAGCCTGTCAAAGGAAACTATTAATACCTGAAAGAGTTTTTAGAGTTGATTGACTGATTGAGCGACTATTTGAAGAACAGTAGGTTGTGGGTGGAGAAACTATTGAAAATAACTGCAGAGGTGATTGATTGATTGATTGACCTATCTTAAGGCAATGTAAAAAGAGAGCTAGCTCTAAAACAATGTCTAGGTATAGTTGAAAGAGTTGTTCTTGATTGAGTAACTGGCTGACTGACTGATTGATTGACTGAACGTTAAAAGCTAATGTTAAATTTAAATTTAATTAGCTTTATGGATTGCTTGAGCAAGTCGTTGTTAGAGGTAGTTCAATTATTTTATATATTCCAGGAATTATGGATTGTGAGTAATTGAATATAAATAGAAAGAGAACTTAATGAGTAAGAGAGAGAGAGAGAGAGAGAGAGAGAGAGGGGGGGGGGGGGGTAAGTTGTCCTACTGCGTATGCGAATGGAATATCAATTGGCATAGCTTTTGGGCAATTAAAGGAAATTTAAGTGGCAAAAGCCACACAAAGGCGACTTCTGCTGAATGCTATTGGCCAATTAGCTGTGTGCCATGGATGTGTGTGTGTGTGTGTGTGCGGGTGCGGGGTGTGGTCGAATAGGTGCTCATTATTGCAGTCATAGTTGGTGCTGAAATTAGGATTCGCTTGGCACAGGCAGCCCACGACTGTTTGTGACAATTGCGAATGCTTTGCCTTTACTTTTGATTTGATTGCCCATTGGAGGTGGGACGGGGTCGGGACACAGTTATCATAAAATCACTGTAATTTATGCCCGTTTCCATTCATTTGCTCGACAAACATTTCCTTCTAGTTACGCACGGAAGCCAGAAATCATATCAACTTGTTGGCTTAAAGCTAAAGCCCACAGGCAGGCAGAGTTTGCATGGAATTATGATCGAATGACACTTGCTTAAAGGTGTCGCTGCCAGCTTTAGCGTTACAGGCATCACGGAAACAAGCCTCTGTCTTATGTGAATGCCATTTGCAAGTAATTAGTTTAGCCTTGAGTCGAGTTTCTTTAACTAGATTACAGCTATCAAATAAACAAATTGTATAGACAATTTCCAGGGACAAAGGGATGAGCAGAGGCATGCCAACAATCCAGTCATCAGTTTGCTTACCTTGCCCCAGACTCATTCAAAATGGCAAGGACTGGTGCTCAGGGTATATGCCAGTCGACTACTCCCGATAAGAAACTCATTTCGGAAGCGCAAGGCACACATTTGATGCTAACTGCTAGTCAACTATGCCCTAACCAACCCAAATCAGGGTTGGTGTAAATTTTAAAGCCTTCTTCAAGCTTTAAATGAAGACAGCTAAACTTAGCCAACTTTGACAAGAGGCTAAAAGTGCTAGTTAATAAACTATAGTTGAGTTTTGAAACTGTTATAGAATACTTTTAAGGCCTATATATATTTGGTGCGGGTGGCTGTGTGGCAACAGTTGGCAACCGGAGACGTGTGGCATTTGCTGCTACAAGTTGCCGAAAAGGTTTTCACATGTGCTCAAATAACGCTTTAAGCACTGAGGCAGCAGGTGGAGCGCGGAGCGAACAAAGAACTGTGAAAAAGTATTTAATTTTTATGAAGCGTCAACTAAAAATAATATGATAATGTAACTGGCACATGCCAGCCAGGCTGCGCGCCGTGCAGGCATCCAGAGGGACTCAGCCACACTCCACACTCAGAGGGGCAGATGAAGGGTGCGACTAGCTGTTAATATTTGCCCTGCAGCTTAGACGAACGGCAGAGCCGAGCAGCAGTTGAATGAGTAGATTCGAATGAGTATGCTCAAACACATGCTGAAACTTACATTAAGCATACGCTGGGCTGGCTGCTGAGGGCTTGAAAGGGTGGAAAAGGGTTTAGAGTGGGTAGCACTCGGAAAACTCCGACAGCACGCAGAGCGTGTAAATGCAAGCAAAACAAACAAACAAGCAAACGTGTATGGATAGATAGATAGATGGCTAGATGTGGGGAGACCTCAAGGAAAAACGTAATTTTCATTTTCACTTGGCACAAACAAAGGGGCGGGGCACTTAGCATCATCTCTCACACCCTCAACAAACAGACAGCAGCCGGATAATCACTCAGCCCAGTTAGCAGCCGATGACAAGTGCTGACTGCCGACTGCCGACTGCTGCCTGCTGTCGGTTGCTTTTCCCAGATGAAAATGAAAAATGCCAAATGGAAAAGACGTTTGCACCCTCTCCTAAATGTAAGAAAAACAAAGTTAGCACTCTGCAGTCGGGTAGAAACGGCTGCATAATGCTCGTTCAAGTAGATGTGGCTTAGACATAGTCAGATTTGCCTAGGAGTCAATCCATAGAGAAGATCAACAGCATCTCATCAGGGATCAGCTATGAAATTGTCGTTTGTATTCCGCATCTGACAGCTCCGTTGAGCAAGGATAGTGCAATTCTCAAGTCTCTAGAATAAACATTTTGCAAAACCAATTTAAACTCACGACGAGCCTAAAAAGTTTCCACTAGTCATCAAAGGGGCTCAGAAAATATCTGCAATATATTTGAGAACCTGAAAAAGCTTTAAAAGCCTCCTTAAAGGGG